TATGAGTCACAGGCACATAACAACAAACAACAAGAAGTTAAAATTGAAGCTGAAGACAATTAAAACAAGCCCACAAGAAACGCAAAATGACCTTGAGTCTTTCCTACCTGAATTTAAACATCATCTTAAGAACTGGTTTGAGACACTGAACACCAATAATTGAACACCAGATGAGTTTTGGGAAGACATTAAGGATATCACCAATAAAGAAAGCAAAAGGTCACTAAAAGGACAGAAGGGAAAGAAAAGACCAAAGTGGATTTATTTCAGAAGAAACAGTGAAAATTGCACTAGAGCATTGAAAAGCCAAAACAAAGGGAAGAGATGCTGAAATAGAAGATCTGAACAGAAGATTTCAAAAGGCAGCTGAGGAAGACAAGGCAGACTACTGTATGTGCAGAGGTCTCAAATTGGAGAATGAAATGGAGGACCAAGTTCAGCATTCCTCAAGCTAAAAGAACTGAAAAACAAATTCAAGCTAAGAGTTGCAATACTTAGGGTTGCTATGGGTAAAATCTTGAGTAGTCCAGAAAACATCAAAAGAAGACAGAAGGAATACTGAAATGATGTAGGAAATATCATATGTTCAGGAGTCAATGATAATGAAGGAAGCTATACTGAAGGCACTGGCAAAAAATAAAGTTCCAGGAAACCATGAGGTATCAATTAAAATGTTTTAAATGACAGAGACAGCCCTTGACATGCTGACCAATATATGCCAGGAAATTTGGAGGACAACAGTCTGGCCGATGGATTGTAAGAGGTCTATATTTGTTCTTAAAAAGTGGAAACTATGGAACAATATAATTAATATTACAAGCAAGCAAAATACTCCTGAAGATTATTCAAAAACAGCTAGAACAGTACATAGATATGGAACTTCTAGAAATTCAAATAGGATTTAGATCAGGCTGAGACACTAGGGATAGCATTGTTGATATCAGATGGATCTTGGCTGAAAGTAAAGAATACCAGAAGAATGTCTATATGCAAAGGCATTTGACTGTGTGGATCATAACAAGTTATGGCTAGCGTTGACAAGAATTGAAATCCCACAGCACTTAATTGTGCTCATGTGAAACCTATACCTACACCAAGAGGCTATGGTGCAAATAGAACAAGGGGACACTACATGGTTTAAAATCAAGAAGGGAATGTGTTAGGATTGTATTATGTCTCCATACCTATTCAGTCTGTATGAGTAAATTATTTTAAAAAAAACTGGACTCTATGAAAAAGACTGTGGCATCAGGATCAGACATGTGTTATGCAGATGACACAATCTTCTTTGTTGAAAGTGAGAAAAACGTTAAGCATTTGTTGCAGAAGATCAAAAAATATAACCTTCAATACAAATTGTACCTCAATGCCAAGAAAACAACGGTTCTTACCACCTGACCAATAGGCAACTTTGTGATAGATGGAGAAAAGACTAATATTGTAAATAAATTCATCTTCCTTGGATCCACAATTAACACACTTAGTGACAGATGTCAGGAAATCAGGGGACATATTGCACTGGGAAAGTTTGTGGTTAGAGACCTCTCCAAATTATTGAGGAGTAATGATGTCAGTTTGAGGACTAAGGTGCACCAGATTCAGACCATGGTCTTTCTGATCACTTGCTATGCACCTAAGATCTGGACAATAACTAAGGATGACAGAAGAAAAATTGATGCCTTTGAATTGTGATGTTGGAGAAGAATGCTGACTATCCCATTGACTGCCAAAAGAACAAATAGGCATGTCTTGGGGAAAGTGCATTCAGAGTGCTCCTTGGAGGAAAAGATGATAAAGCTTCATCTCTTTGGGCATGTTGCTAGGGGATGTTATTCCATGGAGAGGGACATCACACTTGAGAATATAGAGGGATAATGAAGGAGAGGAAGACCCTCAACTAGGAGGATTAACACTGTAGCTGCAGCAATGGGTTTGAAGGTGTCAGAGATTGTGAGGATGGCACGGATTGGACAGGGTTCAGATCTGTCGTTCATAATCTGGAAACTCATTAAAATATATTTCTCAATTTACATAGTAGAGGTCTTATTTGGACATTAAAAATGTCTTTCCCTTTCCGCCGGACGCCAGAAGTGGGTCTCCGCCCTTGTTTGTGGGCCATGGAGAGAGACTGTGGAGCTGTAGTGTCTGTGTTGTGAGAATTCCTGGGGCGGCGGCCATGGAGGCCGTGCTGAACAAGCTGGTGTCTGTGGACGACCTGCTGAAATTTGAAAAAAAATTTCAGTCCGAGGAAGCAGCAGGTTCAGTATCCAAGAGCACCCAGTTTGAATACGCCTGGTGTCTGGTGCGAAGCAAATACAATGATGACATCCGTAAAGGCATTTCACTGCTGGAGGAGCTGCTGCCCAAAGGGAGCAAAGAGGAACAACGGGACTATGTCTTCTACCTGGCTGTGGGGAACTATCGGCTCAAGGAATATGAAAAGGCCCTAAGGTATGTGCGAGGGGTGCTGCAGACAGAACCCCAGAACAACCAGGCCAAGGAGCTGGAACATCTCATTGACAAGGCCATGAAGAAAGATGGACTGGTGGGCATGGCCATTGTTGGAG